CACCACGGTCTAATTCTTGTTGTCGGAGAGCTCGACGTTGAAGTAAAGACTTCCTAGTAGGATTGAATGCTCTATGAAGTTTTGCAAGAAATTCAAGAGCCCCAGTAGTGAGTATTTGAGCTTGAATATCATTTACTGGACCAAGAACCGCAACACCCGAAACAGAATTATAAGACATGATTTTGATAGTTTATGAGTACGTAGATACAATGGCAAGAGATTAGGAACGAATTAGATGAGAACATTTGCTTAAATAAACGGAAATTTACGGAACGGGGGTAGATTATCAAAAACGTTAAGGTTTTAGCCTTTTTAGCCTTAAAAAAAATTTTTTTAAAGACAATTTGACAAAATTAACATAAATATTTTCACTGGTTTCTATATTAGTCAGTTATGTGTCGAAGGAACTGAACCATGATCTAATTTGACTTTTCATAACCGTCGAGCGTAACACAAATGTGATCACATTCGTCTTACAATTTAGGTTTACCGCACGATTAACCCGTTTCTCACTAAATTATATCGACTTAGCGTTATTGTCGCACACCTAACGGGACATTGTGTTTGTGTGCAAAAAATCGTGAATATATCACGTGATAAATGTGAGTGTGATTCAAGTATTATTTGTTGTTTTATACATTTATTATTATATAGTAATTATATATATGCGTACGAATGATCCAATGTTTAAATTTAGTGAAAAAAATGACATTCATAAATAGTTTTGGTTCTAGTCAAATAAAACTACAGAATGCTTTTATATATTAATCTACAAACATATAAATACAATTGTGAGCCACGTAATAACCTACAAAAAAAAAAAAAAAAAAAAAAAAAAATTTTCAATTTTTTTTTTTTTACAATTAAAAAGAATAAAAAAATAAATCAAAAAAGAAAAAAAAAGAAAAGAAACCCACGAAAAAAAAAAAAAAAAAAAAAAAAAAAAAAAAAAAAAATTTCATATCAGTGATTTCTTAAAGTAATAAAATTCAAAAAAAAAAATTTTTTTCTTACCTTAAATAATCAAAAAACCATTTTCAAGAAAGATTTTTTCTCGATCTCAAATTGTATCTTTTAGACGCGGTTTTGGATTCCGTAGTTTCAGACTTTTTTAAGACTTGGGAACCATCATCATCAGTAATACCTCTAGATGAGAATTTTTTCTCTGCCAAATGTTTTGGTACTTCATTATGAGGTAAATAAGTTCCAAGAACGCGATCCCAGAAGGTAAAAAATGGTTGAGAAAAGTTTTTCTTTAATCCAAATGTTTGATGATGAACATCATGACTTTATTCCGGTAAAAACAAAGGAATAAGATTAAGCAAAGGAAAAAAAGCAGAAAAAAAAAATAAATAAAATTGAAAAAAAATAAAAAAATAAACCATTAAATAAAGCTTACTAAGTAGCATTATTCCCAAATATTCTTTGTATAGGATTAAATGGTATATCATAACCAGAATGATCATCAACTGTGCAATACATGGGATAGTTACCATCGAAACTCATTTAAAAACAAATAATGAATGTTTTAGAATTTTAAAAATACATACCAGTCTTGAAAGTGGAAAATGTGAAAAAAACGATTGCGCCTTTAACTGATAATCCTGATAATGTAAACGCAAGAGCAGCGCCGAGAGAATCAAACAAGAAACCTTCAATTGGATGATTGTAAAGAGCTCCGAAAGCATAAGGTACATATAGTCGATGATGTCGAGAGTGAATGTGACGGTAGAGAAATGTACTCTGATGGAATAATCTATGCATAAAATATTGCCATGTATCTAACAAAAACCTAAATATAAAATTATCTTTAGTGATTAATAACATATATGCAATATAAATCAGAAGCTACAAATTTTCGTTCTAAATAAGATTTATGAAATGCATGCTTACATTGCCAAGAAAAATTTTGCAACTGGTATTAAATACCAATAAGAATATTCTGCCATGATCTGTTTGTGTGGTCTAATGAGATGCCATATACCAACTTTTGTTGTAAAAGTTTCCAAAGTTTGACCAAGAGCCAGAATCTCTGCGTTATCATCAGGTAACGCTTGCTCTTCTTCAGCAGCTACTACTATAAAACCTAGTATAGTCTGTAAAATTTGTTGCACAATCACGCCTTTAATAACTTCTGAAATGGAAACCTTATTTTTAGCTTCAATCTCCGCTTGACTATGAATTCGATATTTTTCAAAGAAAGGAACTCGGTATATCGAGATTAGATGATACATTACAGAATATACCCAATAAATGAGTATTGGAAGTAGCAGAGAAAGATGTTTGTCAGAAATAATGGGGAGAAGAGGAGCATGAGATGTCGTCAATGACGACGACGTACCAAAAAAAGAGTTCTCGTCCATGCTAATTGCAA